CACCTCCATATCTTGGCGTTTCTGCTCCATTTCAATTCTTATGGTGTTTTGCCTTGCAATTTCCTCCAAAAACTTTGAATTATAATTGCTTGAATTACCGACTTTCTTTGCCTTCGTAGCCTTTCGGCCAATGGGCCTCGGTTCCTTTTGGATGGGTGAGTCTTCACTCATAGGGGAATCGAGAGGTGAATCCGATGTCATCGCATCACGGAGAGACGTCTCGTTTAACACAACTTCGGGATCCGTGGGAATAATTATGAAGCGTTTACAATATTTCACCACCTCCTAACATTCATGATGGGTGAAACTTTTTTTGCCACCCCCGGTTGCACCGAACCACATCTGTGCTTGAATGAGCTATTTAACAAAAAAATGGAAATGCAATAAATATTTAAAATATATTGGATATGCAAGTAACAAAATAAAAATAATGGAAATGCAATTAACCTTACAAATAAATTGGAAGTGCAAGAAATATGAAGAAACAATTGGAAATGCAATAAATATTAACAACATATTGAAAATGCAAGAAATATTAACAAAATATTTCAAATGCAATAAATATTAACAACATATTGAAAATGCAAGAAATATTAACAAAATATTTAAAATGTAAGAAATATTAACAAAATATTGAAAATGCAATAAATATTAACAACATATATATATTAGGACCTTGAGAAGTTTCCACCTACTCGACAATTTCATTTCCGTACGAGGCGAGTCCGGAATTTTTTTCACAAAATTCGGCATGAATTTTTTTCCACATATGGAAAAATTTCATCTCATTGCCTGTCACGGGACAATGACAAACTCGGAGCCAAGCCTCACACAAAGAAACATCTTCCATGGTGCTCCACGCCCCTCCGGTTTCAATAGAAGAAGCCATAAAAATAAGAAATAAAATTACAAGGTGAAAGAGATGAAAATGTTGAGTGAAGAGTGAAAAAAATGTTGAGTAATTGTAGAAGTAGAATAAAATGTATGAGAATTGGTGTTGAAAGTGAAGGGTATTTATAGGTATTTATAGGAAAAAAAAGTCAGAATTTTTTAGTATTTTTTTTAATAAAAAATTCTGATTTTTTTCATAATTTTATTGCTGGAAAATCGC